TGTTACAGTATGTGCAGTCCACCTCTGCTTTGTAATGGGCTAAAGCAAGCTATTACAAACAGGCATTTTGACTTCTTTTAACCAACAATAGACCACTCTCTTTCTACCAGCATTTACATTCCAAAATATTTTCCATTTATTTTCCATTTTTAATTAACTTTCAATCAACGTATCGCAAATTCATCTATTATCTATCTATCTATTGCCATTTGTATATAATATGTTAATGTTCATCCCACTTTCCATACTACATGCAATTACTTTGTCTTTGACATATTAGTTTTCAAATCTATACTTCATATTGTATCATACAATGTCTAATATTTTCTGCAAATCAAGTTCTGAAACAATGAAATGGCACCATCTGCATATAGGAAAGACACATGCACGTTTATGCTCTTATCCAACAGACCTTTAGTGTTACCATAAGTGTGCTTTACATATTTATCCATAAGTGTATTAAAGAATCTCAGGGATATTATACATCCCTGTTTTTCTCCCTGATCAGTGCTGAACCATTTCCTAACTTTGCCATTTATTTATTTGATTCCACATTTATCATATTCAGCAACAAGCCTTGAAATATACATTCTGTACAGCAATTTGTGCTCATCTATTTTATCAATCATTTTCTCTAATCAATAAACCTGCTCACTAGTGGTACACGCAAGGACTGTCCACAGGCCACTAAACATACCATCTCAGAAATGTATTTGGAAAATTCATGTACTTATTAACTTTATAGCCCACATTTTTTTACAGAAGCTCAAAGTAACACACACAGAGCTTCTGCTGCTATTTTCTCCTGCAACAACTATCCTGTCAGGTAAGTTGATCCAAGAAAGAACAACTGACCAAAATCACTCACTGAGCTTCTATAAATGACATATTTAGCTGAAATAGGATTTGTTGCAATCTGCAGGACTAATTTTCAAAAACTCTTCATATGAATTTCTGTGGTCCAAGACTTCTCATTCCCCAGTAAAATATACAGTAGAGACTTTTGAGGCTGTTTCCTGTCTCTAATTCTACCAGACCACTGTGATGGTCTTGAGGCAGGCATGTTTTCTTGTTTGGAAGTTTTAATCTCCAGTTTGCAGTTCTTCTGGTGGGTAGCTGAGTGCAGAGAACTTTCAATCAAATGGTGCTGGTTAGAAATAAGTTATTACTCTTCCCAAAACACAAATCCCTGATAGCATTTCAATGTCTGTCATTGTGAGAAGTGCTGCTCTCCATAATGACTTTTGTGCCCCTCCCTATTCAGCTAGCACATGGGCTATTGAGAGTTGGGTGGCTAGAGCCATGTCTCTTCAAGACCAAACTTATGAAAAGAAGTACAACCAACCTTAGAATTGACAGAGTATACTGAAATGGCAAATAGCTTCTGCCTTTTGGGATAGGCCACCAACAGCGCAGTAAAAGAACAAGCAGTCAAGAAATAACCCTACAGACTAGACCTCAACAGGGTAGCCATGAAGGCCTTAGAAAAATATCCAGATGCCATGATGTGATTACACCCATAAAAATCACAATTATGGAAGCCATGGTATTCCCTGTGACACTCTGTTGAAGTGAAACTTGACTTGAAGAAACAGGACAGGAAGAGTATTGATGTTTTTGAATTTTGGTATGGGAGAAGAGAATCTTATAGATGGCCAAGAAAACCAGGAAATGGATCATCAAACAATTGTCTATAGAGATCCAAGTTATGGTTGTCCCCAAAGTGCTTTTTCAAGAGGCAACAGGACTTTCTGGTTTTCCTTTGAAGACATTTTGCTTCTCATCCAAGAAGAGAGGCTTCTTGGAGGAGAAGCGAAATGTCTTCAAAGGAAAACCAGAAAGTCTAGTTGCCTCTTGAAAAAGCACTTTTGGGACGATCGTCAAACAAATCTATTCAAAATTCTCACTCCAGCCACAAATGACTGCTCTCAAACAACCCTAATTTGAACCCATAGTGGCAAGACTGAACTTTCTGAGAAATACTGTAATGCTGGGAAAGGTGGAAGGAAAGAGAAAAGGATCATTGGGGAGCTGGAAGGACCCAGTTACAGTGCCATGGGTGTACTGTTTGAAGATCTGAAAAGCCAGATTTGTGTGTGTGTGTTGGACTTGATAACATGCAATTAATTATTTCAATTTTAAAATAAAATCAAAACACTTGAAGGTTATATTTCTGTAATGTTTATACCACCATAACTCTGTACACTTATGCCAACTAAGCAATTCGGATAAAAGCAGAAGGTATTAATTTGCAAAGGTTTCAGCGCACTCTACTGTTGGTTGTCAAAACCCCACTTGCTTGCTTTACTTTCTGGGTTGGGCAATTTATACACCTGATGTGGCCGAACTACAATTCCCAGCAGTCCAGGCGGCTCGCCGGCAAACACATATTGTACAGCGGCAAATTTGGAGTTCTTGCTCTTTCGAAATCATCCTTCGTTTTTTGCAAACTTGCAATTGCCTCAGTTTTTGAAAACGTGCATATAAGTCCGCGCCGAGAGTGTCTTCTATTGAGACCGAAAGAGATTGGCTTTGATCTTGGTTACAACCTGAATCAGTTGTATCAGCTATTCTCTTAGCGCAGCTACGATTTGCATTTGAGATCACACAACCCCAAAGTTAACTTTCTCATCCCGACTTCATATAGCACACTATAAAGATAATTGACCAGGACCAGGTTTAAAAATGGAGAATATTTTTTTTTAAAAAATCTTCCTGTCTCCTTGAAAAACCATTGTAAATCTCCCTACTTACGGAAGGATTGTCTTTTGCTTCATTTTTAAGTCTATGGTCAAAACCGCCTCATTGCACTTCGGTCTGTGAGTGGGTGAGAGGATGTCTTTACCAGCGCATGCGCACTCTGTTCAAGAAGCCAACTCTGCTGCCTGTAAGTACTGTAAGTCGTGTAGCTTAGCCGGTGTTGGTGGCGTCGGAGGGTCTTCTCGGATCTTCCTGCTTTTCCAAGGCGGGACCCGCGAAGGGAAGTCCCAACTTACGTGGGACAGGAAGCCCCGTGGCGTGAATAACTGGCGGGTGGTGATGATGGTGGTCAGAGAGGAGGGTTGTGCCGAGTGGGAACCCATTTCTGTCCCTGCTTTCAATCTCACACCCTGTTTGACAGGCTAATCTTTGCGGGGAAATCGAGTTGCTAAATCTCCCTTGCTGATGCCAGCAGGGAAAAATGACAAAGGGTTGTGACATTTCCAAATCTCGAGAGATTGATTGGGCACAAACGTTCGTGCACTGAAGCCCACTTTATCAGTCATGCATCTCTGCAGGGTTTTTTATTTATTTTTTATCTTTATTTGATTTGATTTGTCAATCGCTTACAAGATAATAGGTATAAGCATAAACATGAGTAAGAATACAGGAAATAGGTACGAATAAATGGGGACAATAGGACAGGTTAGGCACATATGCACGCCCCTTATAGACTTCTTAGGAATCGGGTGAGGTCAGTAGTAGTTTGAGGTTAAAGGAGTTGGGGGTAGACTTGAGGATGTAACTACAGAGTCGGGTAGTGTATTCTAGGCATTGACCATTCTTGCTGAAGTCGTACTTTCTGCAATTCAGTTTGAAGTGGTTTACATTGAGTTTGTATCTGTTGTGTGACATTATATTGTTTATTTTATTTATTTATTTTTGTCAATTGCTTACAAGATAATAGGTATAAGTAAAAATATAGTTATGAATACATGGATACATATAAGAAAAATAAAAAAAATAAAAAAGAAACAATAGGACAGGTTAGGCACGTTCGTGCGCTTATGCATGCCCCCTACAGACCTCTTAGGAAAGAGGTGAGGTCAGTAGTAGACAGTCTAAAGTTAAAGTTTTTGGGGGTTTGGGGAAGAAAGCACAGAGTCAGAGTATTCCAGACATTGACCACTCTGTTGCTGAAGTCGTATTTCCTGCAATCAAGTTTGGTGCGATTAACCTTGAGTTTGTATCTATTGTGTGCTCCTGTGTTGTTATGGTGAAGCTGAAGTATTCATTGACAGGTAGGACATTGCAATGTATGATTTTATATACTATACTTAGATCGGACCGAAGGCATAGTTCAAGGTTGTCCAAGCCCAAAATCTCAAGCCTGGTGGTGTAGGGTATTCTGTTGCAAGCAGGAGTGTAGTACACTTCTCATGAAATACTTCTGGACTCGCTCAATTGTATTAATGTCCGATATACAGTGTGGATTCCAGACTGAAGAGCTATATTGGAATATTGGTCTAGCAAAACTTTTGTATGCTCTAGTTAGCAATTTGATATTTCTGGAGGAGAAGCTTCGTAAGATTAGATTTACAACTCTTAATGCCTTTTTGGCAATGCTGTAACAGTGAGATATAGCGCTTAGGTCATTTGATATGAGAACTTTTCTTGGCAGTGTTGCAAAATGGATTGAGGAGGTGGGTGGGTTTCGACTTCCAGTAAAGCAGCCATCCAAGAATAGAATGGAATGGGGATAGACTTGGAAGGGACCTTGGAGGTCTTCTAGTCCAACCCCCTGCTTAGGCAGGAAACCCTATACCATTCCAGACAAATAGTTGTCCAATCTCTTCTTAAAAACTTCCAGTGTTGAAGCATTCACAACTTCTGGAGGCAAATTGTTCTACTGATTAATTGTTCTAACTGTCAGGAAATTTCTCCTTAGTTCTAGGTTGCTTCTCTCGTTGATTAGTTTCCATCCATTGCTTCTTGTTTTGTCTTCAGGTGCTTTGGAGAAATAGATTGACTCCCTCTTCTTTGTGGCAACCCCTGAGATGTTGAAACACTGCTAGTCCTTCTTATCATTAAACTAGACATACCTAGTTCCAGCAACTGTTCTTTATATGTTTTAGCCTAATAATCTTTTGTTGCTCTTCTCTGCACTCTTTCTATTAATGCCATCCCACCTCACTCCACGCTTTATTAAATATGCTCAAATTGGTATTTAATAGTCCTCTGGCTATTTTTTTTTTTTTAAATTCTTCAATTACCTCTGTTTACCCTCTTTCCATTTTTAGATGAGTGATTCTGAATCTGGCCATGGATCCAAGTGCTGCCCAAGGAGAAAAAAGCAAAGTCTCTGAGACCATGAAGGCAAAGATTGAGAGGAACCGTCAGCGGGCTTTGATGCTTAGGCAAGCTAGGCTGGCGAACTGGCCCTACCCTTCTCCTGGCGAAGGTTTGCCGTATCCTGTTAATTGTGTTATATATGGGGCAACATGACAGAGCTCCTGTTAGTTTGTGTACTTTACAAGGAAGTCATATGAAGAAGGTGATGTAGGGAAGTTCTTAAGACTTTCCCTAATAAGTTGTACGTTCTGGGAAATTAAACAGGCTTATTGTAAAAAGGGTCGCCACCTTCTTTTGTGGTGAGTGCACAGAGAAGCTAAGATGGGGTCCCATAATATTATCTGCTTTACTAGGCCTTTCATTGGGCTTATCACAGCCTGCATTCATGCATAATAAGGAAGAATGTTTGTGGAACAAACTACATTGAAGGATATTTTATTCAAATCTCAAGAAAAAGTTTGCATTGGCTTAATGCTAGGTAATACCAAGCCAGTGGTATTATATTATTAGCAGGATGGGCCAACCCAACCAACTGTGCTTCATTCAGTGAAGTGTAATTACCTAAACAGTGGCTTAATGAATATATGGACTCACTCATATCATCCCAATTTGTTTTGTAAATTAGATCTGTTGCATCACAGTTTGAGGTGGATACGAGATGTGCAAATGCAGGAGTGGGATTCTACCGGTTCTCTCTGGCTCTGTAGAACCGGTAGCTCTGAAGAGCAGCAGACATAGAACTGGAAATCATAAATCACCGAACTGGTAGTTACATCGGTTGGATAACACCCCTGTGTAAATGTATATCTTTCTGGACCAGGGGTGTCAAACTCAATTTCATTGAGGGTCGCATCAAGTTTATATTTGACTTGGCGGGGGGAGTGGGCATGGCCATAGTGGGCGTGGTCAGCTTGACATCACTCATGTTGGGGGGCCTGTGGTGGCCTGAGTGCTCTGCTCTGCCAGTGAAAATGGTGCTTGGGAGGGCCAGGTGTGGCCCTCCTGAACTCTGTTTTCACTGGCTGAGGCACCGTAGGTCAATCCTTGCTGTTTCCAGGGCAGCCCTGTGGGCCAGATCTAAGCACCTGTGAGCTGGATCTGGCCCCTGGGCCTGTTCTAGACTGTGGTCTAAAAGTATTGAAGTCTTTCAGTGTCTGAAAGTACACTGCTCAAAAAAAAATAAAGGGAACACTTAAAAAAACACAATGTAACTCAAGTCAATCACACTTCTGTGAAATCAAATTGTCCACTTAGGTAGTAACACTGATTGACAAGCAATTTCACATGCTGTTGTGCAAATGGAATAGACAACAGGTGGAAAGCATAGGCAGTTAGCAAGACATCCCCAATAAAGGAGTGGTTCTGCAAGTGGTGACCACAGACCACTTCTCAGTTTCTATGCTTTCTGGCTGATGGTTTGGTCATTTTTGAATGCTGGCGGTGCTTTCACTCTAGTGGTAGCATGAGACAGAGTCTACAACCCACACAAGTGGCTCAGGTAGTGCAGCTCATCCAGGAGGGCACATCAATGCAAGCTGCGGCAAGAAGGTTTGCTGTGTCTGTCAGCATACTGTCCAGAGCATGGAGGCGCTACCAGGAGACAGGCGAGTACATCAGGAGACGTGGAGGAGGCCGTAGGAGGGCAAAAACCCAGCATCAGGACTGCTACCTCCGCCTTTGTACAAGGAGGGAAAGAAGGAGCATTGCCAGAGCCCTGCAAAATGACCTCCAGCGGGCCACAAATGTGCATGTGGCTGCTCAAATGGTCAGAAACAGACTCCATGAGGGTGGTATGAGGGCCCGACGTCCACAGGTGGGGATTGTGCTTACAGCCCAACACCATGCAGGACGTTTGGCATTTGCCAGAGAACACCAAGATTGGCAAATTTGCTACTGATGCCCTGTGCTCTTCACAGATGAAAGCAGGTTCACACTGAGCACATGTGACAGACGTGACAGGGTCTGGAGATGCCGAGAACGTTCTGCTGCCTGCAACATCCTCCAGCATGACCCGTTTGGCAGTGGGTCAGTAATGGTGTGGGGTGGCATTTCTTTAGGGGGCCACACAGCCCTCCATGTGCTTGCCAGAGGTAGCCTGACTGCCATTAGGTACCCAGATGAGATCCTCAAACCCCTTGTGAGACCATATGCTGATGCAGTTGGCCCTGGGTTCCTCCTAATGCAAGACAATGCTAGACCTCATGTGGCTGGAGTGTATCAGCAGTTCCTGCAAGATGAAGGCATTGATGCTATGGACTGACCTGCCCGTTCCCCTGACCTGAATCCAGTTGAGCGCATCTGGAACATCATGTCTCACTCCATCCACCAATGCCACGTTGCGCCACAGACTGTCAAGGAGTTGGGGGATGCTTTAGTCCAGGTGTGGGAGGAGATCCCTCAGGAGACCATCCGCCACCTCATCAGGAGCATGCCTAGGCGTTGTAGGGAGGTCACACAGGCACGTGGAGGCCACACACACTACTTAGCCTCATTTTGACTTGTTTTAAGGATATTACATCAAAATTGGATCAGCCTGTAGTGTTTTTTTCCACTTTAATTTTGAGTATAATTCCAAATTCAGACCTCCATGGGTTGCTAAATTTGATTTCCATTGATAATTTTTGTGTGATTTTGTTGTCAGCACATTCAACTATGTAATGAACCAAGTATTTAATAAGAATATTTCATTCATTCAGATCCAGGATGTCTTATTTTTGTGTTCCCTTTATTTTTTTGAGCAGTGTAGTTTATATAATCAATGTTATAGAGTCATTTCAAAACAAAGTCATTTTATTTATACAGGTGCACAACTAAATTGTTATTTTATCTTTCCAGGCAGTTCAAAAGTTAAAGTACCTTCAAAGACGATAGATACAGGAGGAGGGTTTTTTCTGGAGGAGGAAGAGGAAGAAGAGACAAATCGACACCAAACTGGGAAAATTGTGCATCCTCCTGGTAATTTTGATAAGTGTCTGAATAAGCAACACATAGGGAATTTTGGTTGAAAAGAGCCTATGTTTTTGCTGAACAGCTGTGTGTCCATACTGATGTAGGCAGTATTCTAGGTTCAACATTGGTTACATAAGAATATAGATTTGCTAATTTAATCCAAAATTGACTGAGGATTAAAGCAAATGTGGATGGAGATAACACATCCAGAGTTTACCGAATTGGAAAAAATTGCACTATAAAGTCAATAATTTGCTTAAAATGATTCTGGGCAGCATACAATGATTGAAATCGAAGTTACAGAACAATAACCCATGTTATCCAAGGTAAAGCATATCATAAAACCACATCAACAGCACAGCTCGCCTAACCTGGAAAAGTAAGTTAGTTAGAACATATTAGTTCCAATAAGCAGTGCTTATTTTTTCTTAAGGTTTATAGACAATAAAACACAATGAAATGTCATTTCCAAGATTCCAAAGCTTAATTTTGTTGTGTGTTTGTATTTCTTGTTATTGTTATTTTACTATTTTGGATAAATTTAACAGCCTGAATTGTTGTTATTGTGCTTCTGTTCTTATTTTAATAGGTCCAGTATTAGAATTTGATTATCTGATCTGTGAAGAATGTGGGAAGGAATTCATGGACTCTTATCTCATGAACCATTTTGACCTGGCAACATGTGATAATTGCAGGTACGGCAATTTTGTTTTTGTACTTTCAAGTCAGTCCTGACTCCTGGCAACTGTAGATTAAGAATGACTAAATAAGTGGATTTAGTGTTTAACAAATGGTTTCATTTTGTTTGTATTGCAAACATTTCTAGCTCGGTGTAAAAAATAAATATTATAAACTCAGAGTCAGTTGGGGTTGGGCAGCATCAAATCAATCGATTAAAACTATTATGACATTTAAAAAGGGATAATCCAAAATGAATAATCAAAATATTTTTAAACGTATACCAGCACCCTAAACGTTGGTCATATGCATATAATGCAAATGAATAATTTTAAACCCATACATTTTAACAGAAACTGAGTGTATGATGTTATATCACCTTTTGCAAGAATATATTCAATTGAACAACACAGTGACATTTATTTTATAAAGTTGTATGTAGAAAGTCTAAAAGGCTGAAATCTCAAACATACACACATATTCTCTCTCTCTCTCTCTCTGTATATATGTGTGTGTGTGTGTGTGTGTGTGTGTGTATCTTTGGTTATTTGGGTTTTCTCCCGCATAAGATTGGAAGTATCTAGGCAACATTTTGATGAAGTCTCATTCATCATCTTCAGGCTTGTGTGTTCGGCTCTGTGCTTCTCAGAGAAAACCTGAATAAGCAAAGATCGCGGGAGAAAACCCGAATGAGCAAAGATCCACATACAAATACCCACGAGAACCTCAGAATATATATATATATATATATATATATATATATATATATATATAGAGAGAGAGAGAGAGAGAGAGAGAGAGAGAGAGAGAGAGAGAGAGAGACAGACAGACAGACAGACAGACAGACATATATATATAGACACACACATACACGTACACACACAATATACACATTCTCTCTATACACACACACACATATATTTGTATATATATATATATGTATATATGTATGTATGTATGTATGTATATATGTATATATGTATGGCATTCAGCTTTGTTCGGGTATTTTCCCACGTCATAGTAGTTGTGCTTTTAAAGCACAACTACTATGACATGGGAAAATACCCGAACAAAGTCGAATGCCATACATATGAGTACCCACGAAAACTTAAGAATGAATATATATATACTCTGAGAAGCACAGAGCCGGAGACAGAAGCCTGAAGATGATGAATGAGACTTCATCGAAACGTTGCCTAGACACTTCGAATCTTACGCGGGAGAAAACCCGAACAACCAAAGATCCACATACAAATACCCGCGAGAACCTCAGAAAACATATATATATACAACACACACACACACACACACACACACACACGCATACATATATACATACATACACATATATATAGTATATTATGTTGTCTTTATACATCATACATCATTGTGGACATGTTTCCAATGATAGTTTAGTACAGATACATATAGAAATTTGAGCATGACCAAAACAGATTTAATAACTGTAACATGTAATAATCCTGTTGATTCCTGTGGGACTAATTTAAAGTGTTGAACCTAATTACATGGCACTTATGCATGCACATTTGGAAAATATTCCAAGTGAATCTTACTTTCTAGTAAGTGTCTTTAGGAGTCCATTTTAAATTGTCAAATGTGTGCTTATTTCTATTGAGTGGAATGCTTAAAGATAAAATTCAGATTACATTGTGGTTGCATTGATACTTAGGATTAATTCTGTGCATGCTTAAAAATGATTTGGAAGAAGTGTTTGACTTCACCCAAGCATACTTTTTAATGTTCATTTAATGTACCCCTTTTTATAGGCTTCCACACAAGCTTGAAAAAAGATGTGATTTAAATATTCTGTTCATTAAAGTTCTTTTTTTCTTCAGGTTCATGTGGAAGTCGGAAAAAAGAATTGTGTTTTTATGAAGTTTGAAGCTCTTTTTCTAAATCATTTTCAAGGCTTTTTTTTACACAGACCAACTTGATATTCGGTGTGGTTATCTTGTAATATGTACCACTGAACATAAAAATACAAAGTTAAGAATTAGTTTAGCTAGTGGGGTAACATGTATATTATCTGACATCTGCAAATACATAGAATGCATTTTCAGTTTGAATTGGGAATCTCATTTCAGAGACGTTGAAAACAAACATAAACTCTTAACAAGAACTGAAGCAAAGCAAGAGTATCTTCTCAAAGACTGTGATTTAGACAAGAGAGAGCCAGTGCTTAGATTCATTCTGAAGAAAAATCCTCATAATCCACATTGGGGTGATATGAAACTTTATTTAAAACTACAGGTAATTGAATCTTGTCCTCTTAATATTTTTCTTCCAAAGATATGACTTTTTTGCATTCTAACAACATTTCAGTTTTTCTCATGGTGAACGTTTAACTATTTGATCCAACTGTCTCGATTTTTGTTGTCGTTGGTAGGTTATGTGGGAGCTGAATTATATCAGAATGTGCCTTTCTACTGAGGGAAGGCCTTTTGATTCAGTGTAGTTTTCTATCAATAGGGGAGAGAAAGGAAGGGAAGGTTGTTTTGTAACCTGAAAAATCTGTTCTAAAAATTTGGGGAACCCTTTGGAAGAGGGCAAATGGTGCCAGTTGAGATACATCATTACAGATAAAGGGAAGGATTCATTTACTATTTCCTAAAAAAAAAAAAAAAGAACAGGAAAAACCCTTCAGCCTCTGTGCAACTAATCTCGTTGCTACTTGCCACGATTGCCATGCAGTTTCCCACAAGCATTTCTATTGTAGTATTGTCAGAAGGCATAAACAGGACTGCTTCTTTGTATGAATTGCCATTCTTCAAGGAAAAGAACACCTTCTTCAATAAAAATAACCCTTTCCCCAAAGATACTGAATGAAAATACTGTAGTGCTAAGTGAAGATAGCACTATATTCTGTGCAAAAAAGAACTAGCTGAGAACAAGAGCCTTTGTTTGTTGGTACAGCAGCCAGCACAAAGACGGGGCTGGGACGTTACTTTGTGTATAAGGTTTCTCTTGAGATGGTCTCTTCTCCCAGGGTTCTCCAGGGGGCAACACATACAGAAAACCCTTTGTTACCAGCTAGTTTGGCTTTTGTAACCCAGATACAGTAGCCCTAGCCTAACTGATCTATTTGTTTCCAGTCCTCTAAATTTTACTCAAATGATGCTTGGCATTTACAGGTAATTAAGCGCTCCCTTGAAGTTTGGGGTAGTGAGGAAGCATTAGAAGAAGCTAAAGAAAATCGACAAGATAACAGAGAGAAGATGAAACAGAAAAAGTTTGATAAAAAAGTTAAAGGTAGGTTACAAGTATTAGTTGAGTGATACCAGTAAACCTCCCTGTCCCTCTTGTTTTTAAGATCGAAGGACAACGTACTAGTCTACACAAATTAGCTTTATTTAAAAAAACAAACATTCCTGGAGTCCACTTAGACCCAATATATTTGACTCAAAAGTAAAAATGATGGGTTGACACAACTGTTCATAGTAGAGCTTTTTAAAGTGCCTTTGAGTCAAAATTGACTCAAATATTTCAGAAATGGTTCACCATGATCTGTTTCCCTTGGCTGAATGAGAGTGATCCAGCTCAGTGGTCCCCAACCTTTTTTATACCACGGACCGGTACAATCCCTGGACCGATCCACGGACTGGTACTGGCATCAGCACGCACGACCAAGGCAAGGCGAACCGAGGAACCAGCCAGCCAGTCGTCCCCCACTTCTCCCCGCCACCTTCAACTCCTCCTTTGTACCTTCTCGTGGTCAATGGGCTTTACGGGCTCTTTCTTAATCTCCTCCTGAGTAACGCGAGACTCCACCGCCATCAGGACAGCTCTTCGTTCGAAGCCCCCCCCCCTTCGATGAAACTAAGGCGCGAGGATTCCTTCAGCACCCAAACACCGCTTTCCAACTGATGACCAACAAGCTCACCCGAAAGCACTTTCTCAAGCACCGTTGAAACAAGATGGCAGTGCCCAAGCAAAATAGGTGGCCCGGTACAGAATGATCCACGGACCGGGACAGTCCGTGACCTGGTGGTTGGGGACCACTGATCCAGCTGACTTTGTGCCTAAATCAAACTAGAAGTCAGTTCTCTTATTAGTGCTTACCTTTAAAAAAAGAAGACAAGGAAAGCTAACTGGGCAGGAGGGTTGGAAGGTAGGAAGGATGGCAGAATTGTCAGATAAATTGGAATTCTGCAAGTGGCCAACTCCTAGTGATAGCCAGTTTTATTACACTGATCATACTCTTGGTGACTGATGCCCCCACAGGCTGAAAGATTAGGGACTTACTCTATGAAATCCAGGGAAAGAGTTACATTCTTTTGGTTCTGCTTTTTATGCTATCTTCTAATGGACTTTAAAATTCACTCTAGATTCATTCCAAGTCCATCTGTACGTTCGCTTTCAAAAACAGAACATTAATGAAATCATTAGGATTTAGACACTCATTCAGAGCACATACGGAGTGTCAATGGGGATTAATTTATTTTACTTATGTGTGACTGTGTTTTAATTATTGTGCTCCTTCTACTGTATTAGAATTACGGCGAGCTGTAAGAAGTAGTTTATGGAAAAAAGACACAAGTATCCATCAACATGAGTATGGAGCTGAAGAAATGATAGGTGATGATATGTACAGAAAGATCTGCAGCACGTGTGGTCATGAATTAACCTATGAAAAGATGTAGTACAGCTTGGATTTACATTCGATGCATTTTTGTATTCAAGTGTTTATATAATTGATCACATTCTTTGTGACCTATTTTGCATACCCTAACCATTATCCAGAAATAACTGAAAATTATGTAGAAAAAAGGCATAATAATAATCCTTTTATAAAAATGTTACATTTATTGAATAATAAAAATATTTAACTGTATAATACTTACACAGTTAAATGCTTATCTGTATCACTGCATGCATTCTTAATGTTTTTCATATATATCTACAGTAGTTTGTGGGTTAGAAAAAAAAAACACTTTCCAATTTGAAGGTCATACATATACATTATAGAATATAGAGAAAAGAAAGCACACCCTTGCACTTAGTTCTAGCAACTTTATCATTGTGGAGATAGTGGCTGCATCAGAGAACATTTTCAACTAGGGTGAAAATGGGTGGTTTGTGCGGTTTTGATTTAGTATTATTTAAACGCAGTCACAGATCTGTAACCCCCCAAACTTCAAACTGAGCTATGGATTGCCATGGAGAATGCTACTGGGAGGATTGAAGATTTGCTAGGAATGTACAGCCGACCAAGTTAGTTTGAGGCCCTGTAGGCTAGTGTCCCTACCTATCCCTATAGGTAATAAAGGAACACATATTTTGAGGGAAAACATCTGGGCCTTGCATATGTTGGTAAATGAATAGACCAGGGGTCCCCAAACTTGGCAACTTTAAGACTTGTGGACTTCAACTATGCTAGCTGAGGAATTCAGGGAGGTGAAGTCCACAAGTCTTAAGGTTGCCAAGTTTGGGGACCTCTGGAATAGACTTTAGCAGTCTCTGAACTTGCTTTCATTAACTGGCTGGATGACATTAGCTGTTTGTTGTGCTGTCTTGCCTAGTAACAATAAATGGGAATACTAAGAGCCCAGCAATTCAACGCTGAGCTATATTTCTACTATAAAGAAACAGGCCCTTAAGTAACTCAAAGTTTCTTACTTGCAAGACTTTGATAAGCATATTGGCAAAGCCAGCCTTTATCTAATGACTTGGCTTATCAAATTTATGAGTAAACACAAATAAATAAAAAGAAGCACAACAGCCCTGGTTGTCTTCTTGGTCTTGGCCAATGAAACAAAAATACTCTTTCTCCAAAGTAATCAGACAATCTTGAGCTATGGAAGGCAGATCAGGCTAGCTGATAGCTTTTATTAAGTCCCTTAATGCAACTTATATCTGCATTATAAACAAGCAGCACAGATCGTTGCTTCAGTAATTCAGTTTGCTTCTAGTCTGTGTGACCCAAAATAAGCACACTGGACCAACGTAAAAAAAAAGTGTTATAATTTCAATTATGTTTCACACAACCATGATCGTTCATTTTGATAGCAAACATACCCAAAAGTTTTTCGCAGGCTTGGCCATTTAAATATTTGTATATTTGAGGCTTCGGTTTCTTGTGAGCTTTGAGCATTATCACCAGAAAGGCCATCCTACAGACAGATTCATATGTTTTTAGACTCGTTTCACATTATTATGGAACCCCTTGAATAGTATGCAAGAGGTAAACAAAGAATGACGTCTATTTATTGTCTTCTATTTTTTTAACTTTTATACCGTACAAAAGGGATGCTATGGCAGTCAACATTCAATACATTTCAAATTCAGAAATGCACACATTATCCCATTCCAAACATCCCGGAATCATAACTAGCAAAAGGCCCCTACTACCGAAAATTTGAGCACTGTGTAGCTTATCTAGCACAGCATACTTTCAGATTGTTATTATTTTTCCTTTCCTTCCCATCAAAGCCTTAAGTTTAACAAGATGAAAATAAGTCCTGTGCAAAAAAAACAAAAAAACAAACTCAAGCCTGGAGTGCACAAAACTGCTGAAATATAGCCAGTATGTGATGATCCAATTCTGCTGTAAATAGAAGGTTCTCCAAAGTCAGCATGTATTGTTGGATGATCTGATGATGCTGCAGACACAAAACAGCATTTCAGTTGAGCTTGGAAATGACATAGCATGTTAAATAAACCATCTTTTTAAAAGTTCTTGTTTTAAAAGTATCTTGTTTCTACTTGCCAGCTGTGGCTTAATATTGCAAGTTTGATTTGTATGATATGGACAGCACAAATACTGCCGTGTTTCTCACAAAATAAGGCCGGACCTTATTTTTTTTTGACCCCCGAAAAAACGGCTAGGCCATCTTTTCTGGGTTGACTTAATTCCCCCCCCTTGCATCCTTGGGTGGGCGGGCAGCGACAGCTTGGATATTGACCTCGGCGTTGGTGGGGCACTTCGTATTGGGAGACCTTCTGCCACTGTTCCTTTCCCTTCTCCCTTGCTGCCGCGACGTTTAAAGCAACGCTGCGGCGTTTAGCACAGCCATGTGCAGTCAGCCAGGGCTCCTTTCTGCAACCGTAGCCCGGCGGAGACACTCAGCTTCAGGCGCTCCTGTCGCCACCTTCCCTTTGCCTTCGAAGGTAAAGCCAATTATTTTAAAAACAACACCCTACTACAACAAAGCCCCCCCTGCCCGAGATGGCAGCCCAACCCCACGTGGGGAGGTGAATCACCCGGGGCCACAGCACAGGATCAGCCCACCTCGGGAGAAGCACCCAGCCACCATCCCTTCTTGGCGCTGGGTAGAGCGCGAAGAGCTTCACCTGGAGCGCCCAGCGCAGCTGACAGGCAGGCCCTCCTGCCCGGCGGTGGAGCTCTCACCAAGGCAGCGAGCGCCTCCCTGCCAGACCCTCTGCTCATCCTGCCAGGGCCGCGCCAGAGCCGTGTGGACTGGGCAGAGTCAGGAAAGCGAGCCGTAGGTGCGCGCCCGCCTGCCAAGCAAAAGAACCGGGCCGACCTGAGCTTGGCTTCCTTCCCAAGTCCCTCCAGTGTGAACCCGAAGGGGCCACCGGGAGAGGCTGCCCGATGCAGTGATAGTGCCCACCCATCCATGGACAGGGAGGTGAGGTGATGGCAGCACTGCTTCCCTGGCCGGGGGACAGAGCCCGAAGCTGCCCATCCTTTCCACCCCTCACCCAGCCCATCCCCGTCCCCACGCCATCTCCAAGTGCGCCAGCAGCTCCAAACGCTGCAGCAGAATGGGCATCAGGCAGAGGTGCTGGCTCAGCGGGGCTCAGCTCGGGGGAGGACGCAGCGCAGGCCGTCGCCTTACCTCCCTGTCCATAGATGGGTGGGCGCTACCACTGCCTCAGGCAGTCTCTCCTGGTAACCCCTTCAGGTTCGCACTGGAGGGACTTGGGAAGGAAGCCAAGCTCAGGTCAGCCCGGCTGTTTTGCTTGGCAGGTGGGCGCGCACCTGCGACTTGCAATCCCAGCTCTGCCCAGCCTGCACGGGTCTGGCATGGCCCTGGTGGGATGAGCGGAGGGTCCAGCGGGGAGGTGCTCGCTGCCTTGGTGAGAGCTCTACCACCAGGCAGGAGGGCCTGTCTGTCAGCTGCGCTGGGCACTCCAAGTGAAGCTCTATGCACTCTGCCCAGTGCCAGGCAGGGATGGCGGCTGGATGCTTCTCTTGAGGTGGGCCAATCCTGCGCTACAGCCCCGGGAGATTCGCCTCCCCAAATGGGGTTGGGTTGCCCTCTTGGGCAGGGGAGGCTTTGTCGTACCGGTAGTAGGGTGTCGTTTTTAAAAGAATTGGCTTTGCCTTTGAAGGCGAAGGGAAGGCAGCGACAGGAGTGCCTGAAGCCGAGTGTCTCCGCCGGGTTCCGGTTGCAGGGAGGAGCCCTGGCTGGCTGCACGTGGCTGCACCAAACGCCGCGGCATTGCTCTAAACACCGCGGCAGCAAGGGAGAAGGGAAAGCAACAGTGGGGGAAGGTCTCCTGATACGAAGTGCCCCACCAACGCCAAAGTCAACGCAGGCAGCACCATATCCGGGTATGCAACGAAACTACTTCCTAACTGCAAGGCCCCCCATTCCTGCATTCCAAGCGCCCAGGCCGAGCTGCAGCTGTCCCTCTTTCGCCAGCGCTGTCTCCAACAACAGTGGCAGGAACCGTGGAAGCGTTTCAGCTGCTTCTTGGGTGGGGGAGCCACCTCCGTAACTTCCACGGTTCCCACCACTGCTGCCACTGTTATTGGAGACAGCGCTGGTGAGAGAGGGATAGCTGCAGCTCGGCCTGGCACTTGGAATGCAGGAATGGGCTGCACACCGGGACTTTTGCAAATTTGCAGAGCCCGAGGCTGGAGCACCAAGGGTAGCAGCAGCAGAGACGCTCGCTCGGCTCTTCTCAAGCCCACCCAGACACTCGGGATTAAACCAAAACACAGTGCGCAGCGCTCCCAGGTACCTCAAAATCTCTTTTTTTCCCCTGTTGTTATGGGGATGGGGAAAAAGCGGGAGCGACTCAGATGCTGTTGTTGGAGACGGCGCTGGTGCGCGGGATGATGGTGGAGAAATTAATGCACCCCTGAAAAGACGTCCTAGCCATTTTTTCGGGGCTCAAAAAAAAATAAGGCCCGGCCTTATTTTGTGAGAAACACGGTATATACTATTTTGTTTCCCAGAACTTAAATATTTTTGGAAAATAGCATCCTTCTGAGAGATTGTGAGAGGGGCACTGCTTCCAAAATATGACCCACTTCTGGAATTATGTGAAGAGCCTTCTGTAGAAAGGCCAACATGTTGTATCAGCTGGGTACTGATGGCACAGTGGTTAGAATGCAGTATTGCAAGTTAATTCTGCTGACTGCCAACAGTTTGATTCTCACTGACTCAAGGTTGACTCAGTCTTCCATCCTTCCGAGGTTGGTAAAATAAGGGTTCAGATTATTAGGGGCAATATGCTGACTCTGTAAGCTGCTTAGAGAAAGGCTGTAAAGCACTATAAAGTGGTATATAAGTCTAACTGCTGTTGCTACTCTTTCAGAAAACCAATCTCTGGAGGAGTTAAGTGGAGCAAGACATGAGGGCAGGGAGGAGGCCTAAGGCCTCCGAGACCCAGTGAGGCTGGATTGGGGTGGGGGACATAGGCAGGTAGACGCACTTGCAGTGCCCTTGCCAAGTGTCCCAATTTTTATCATGTGATTGAGGGGACACTATAACAGCCACAAATTTGAGGACAAGTAGGTCCCTTTCTTTAGCATCAATGTGATTTCAAACGGTTACTCAATGAATTTCGGTCATAAGTCAAAGACTACCTCTATTGGGTTTGCTCTTGACTACTATCATAG